AGTATGGCATCAACAACGATATTTCATTGTACATTTATTTCTACAGATACTTGTTATAACGATTTATAATCAATATGGTACATTTAATTATAGTTGGTAATCGTTTCTTTTTTCTATAGCACATTACCAATGACGTGTTTTCTCCAAGCTTTTTCAAGACGTTGAAGAGTTCCTCAGGGACGATAAACCCATCGTGGTTTGAATCGAAAGCTTTGAAGACTTCTCGTAGCTCTGCTTCGGGGTCCATGGTTACCTTGCGGGCAAAGATGTCGACAAACTCATCGAAGTCAATGTTGCCGTCTCCTGTGGAGCGGAGGTTAGGAGGTCAGGTCCACATGTCTTGAGTTTGAGTTAGACTCTTGTTTGTTTGTTTTAGTAAGGTTTTACGGCGCTCACAAGCGCCAAGAGTAATATTTTAACGGGATTAACAAAACAAAAGGTCATATTAAGGCCGAAGATTAGATGTGTTATTCGTAGAGTTTAAACTACATTGTCATCGTAATTTCTCGGGTCACAATCCTCCTCTTCCTCCTCCTCCTCAGACATCAAGAAGCCCCACCCCTGTTCAGCTCATTAAAAAAAAACGTCTAAAAAACGACAAAAGAATCATAAACAAGCTAATACCGGTACTTCATCTTTTACACGTTGGGGCGAAATTGATACATGTACTGGTAAACAAGTTTTAAATTTCAAATCGCAACGAGGATCAAATTCCTTCTCAACCTCGCCTGCTGACTTATCCGTCCCCGCGGTTTTATGCAAAACAAATTCTGAAATTATGCAAACTGAGCCAAAAACTGTGAAATTATGCAATTTTGTTAATTTTAACAAAGAATGATAAAATAAAGGAACATAATAAGAAAAAAAGAAGGAAAAAAAATCACATTTTGCTAAATTAAGCGGGGTACATAAAACCACGGGGACTGACTAATGGCCAATAAATCTGCCTTCGAATGGACTTATTCTGTACCAAGTAGGGCATTCAACCCCGGAATAAAATTATGTTAAGCCACGGACAATTTTTTACAAGGACAATAAAATATTATCGCATCTCATCAGAATTCATCTGATCTTATCCTATCTTATCTTATCTTACCTTATCTTATCTTATCTTATCTAACCTAACCTTATCTAATCTAATCTAATCTAATCTAATCTAATCTAATCTAATCTAATCTAATCTAATCTAATCTAATCTAATCTGATCTGATCTTATCTTATCTTATATATAAAAAAAGCTATGATAGTATACTTACGATCAAGGTCCACGGCTCTAATATAGTTCTTGATCTCATGCGCCGACGCCCTTTGACCTAAGGATATCATCACCGAGCCCAGCTCGTCGCTTGTGATCATCCCATCTCCATTTTTGTCAAACATATGGAACGCATCCCGAATCTCTGTATTACAGAAAAACAAGAAAAACAACCAAAAAGATTGAAAACGATTTGTAAAACAAGAACCCCCCCCCC